CTCGTCCACCCATCTATGCAATAAAAAAATTAAAAAATGTATTATAAAAGTCAGATGCTTAGTATGTGCTCAAAACAGTATTTGTGTATCACACAGTCCGAACGTTATGAAGAAACTACTCATGTATGCATACAACTCTAATGACATAATTCGCGGTTGCCTTAGCTACCAGGAATCCTAATCGTTTATCCGGAACCCGCGAAATTACACCTCCAGAGAGACACGGGAATCGAAACAAGGACGTTCCGGTCGCGTCGGCCGATCGTTTACTCAATAATCACGGTGCCAATGCCATTTTATAGTTTGGTCGGATTTTATTATCAAGCATTAGGATTAGATTCGTGGCTCGTAATTTAGAATTCGTTTGATCGTGATTCATGTCCGTTTTTTTGTTTTATCAGTAGGTACGTATTTCGTGTAGTTGTTCTAACCTAACCTTAATTTAACAAACCTTATTTTACCGAATTAATTGATTTAACTTAATAAATAATGTATATACAAACAACCTAATAAATGAATAAAAATAATAATTATTTAGGTAAAGCTACTTATAAATAGAAAATCTGCGTTAACTCACCGCCGGTTGGCAGCGTTCCCAGAAGGCTGGCAGCATTTCCACGCTGGATAGCAATGCTAATTCTTTGTGCAAAATACGTACCGGCCTTGTTGTTCTTAACCAAGTATTAATATTATTTAACTTTACAGAATCAGGTAAGCTAGTATAGCCCGTCTACTATTAGGAAAACAAGGAACAATATACTACAACGTGATTGCCTCCATACGCCTCGAGACGTGATCATATTTCGAATCTAATGAAAATTCAGTATGACAAATAAAAACTATTTGGAATTAATCGATGTATATATATTATTTGGGTTTTTTTTTTATATTATGGAACAAATTAACCTTATTTTTGTACCAAACTCTCACTTTACCGTCTTTTTCACCTTATGGCTATACGGCGTGTCGTTAGCGCTTTCGGATCATCCCTATTAGGTATGTCTATCCCATCAGTGCTGGTACAAGGACTGTTACTTGTTAGGTCATGGATACTAAAAACCACATTTTCACTAAACTCATGATTTTTATTATCGCAAAGAAAAAAATCTAATACTCTCAGTGGAATTCAAATATTGTCATTTGGTTGTTATTTAAATTCTAATAAATTCAAATAGAATTAAACATTCAAATATAGTTACTAGTAATTAATTCATGCGTTCCGATTCTATAATGTGGATATTTGTATAAAAAATGTAACTGACTTGAACGGGCCTGACTTGATGACACTTGGATACTTTGTATCAACTGAGAATTTATTTCAATAGTTATCAATAAACATAACAATTCACAAGCTGCCCGTATATTCCTATTTTATGCTCAATTTGTCACATACCCGATCCTGTAGACCGAATGGTAAACAGTCCACGTCGTCCGATCCCGATCCTATAACGGTGCTTTTAGGTACCACAAGCACTGGTCACCGTCCTCGTCGAATCTGTCGCTTGCGACGAAGGGCTCGACGAGGACGGCGAATTAACCCATAGACACAACTCACTGAGTTTCTCGCCGGATTTTCTCAGTGGGCCGCGTTTCCGATCCGGTGGTAGATTCTGCGAAGCACTGCTCTTGCTAGTACTGGCCGTATTAGCATCACTCCGGTTTGAGCCCCGTGAGCTCACCTACTAGTTAAGGTTAAGCTGAAATAGCCTCTCAAGGCTATCATCAGCTTAGGTAGGAGAAAAAAAAAATCAATTTGTCTCGCTTTAAAAGTGGATGTGGCAAAGTTAAATTTTGAAACATAAAAAATAAAATGTTGTATACATAAATAGCAGTCACCATTGTAGAAGAAATAATTTAATTTTGTGAACAACAAAAATATTAAGCGCCGGTATAAAGTAGATTTTATATCGGACTGAAAATTACGCAAAAAAACATTTGTTGAATTACTGTGAACTGTACGAGTATAATTTGTTAAAATATAAAAGGGAAAGTGTGTTTATATGTATATTATTAATTTTTAATGTTTTAATAAAAAATGATTAAGTAGAACAGATAAGCTATTACTTACTACAGATAAGCTATTACTATTTTATATCTAAAATACTGTAATTCAAAAAAATATGTTGGACGCCCATTCGCGATTTCAGTAATTAATTTTTTATTTATAATTTATCTTCAAGTCAAAATATTAAAACATTACACCTTTTTGCGAACGATTTTATCACATAGTATATATTTTACCTAAAGAAATTAAACAGAGGACCATATTTTTCATTGGTTTGCTTTATCTTTATTGACGAATAATAATTGTAGTAATTTTCAGATAGTAAAAAGCGTTATGTACCAACTCCCAACCCTAATAATAAAAATAAGACATGATGTAACGCTCCGATGTAAAATACAACGTACAACTATAAAAAGTAAACAAATAAAACTCAAATTGGCGGGTAAACATAAAAAGTATTGTTGTGAACTGTCAATTTAAAAGTATAAATTAAACTATGATAATAAACCTTATCTATGAAGTTTGACAGAATGTCCGGGATTCTGATTTGCTTTCTGCTTTGAGTTTATATCGATTCAGTCCCGAGTCTAGTTGTACCGTATAGTTATCAAATGCTCTAGGTCGTTAAAGCAATGAGAGGCTTCAATCTCCCTTCTACATAAGACCTCTCATTATGCGAACTACCTCTCGATTGCTGATTAAGTTGCACGCAATTTTATGTACTTACTGCGCCTTGGTTATTTGTTAGAGCTAGGTATTTTGTCAATGTTTTTTTATGAATCTAGTTTTTACCGTCCGTCAGATTTTTGTAGTAACCAAAATGTCATAAATATTTCGAAAACAAATTTGTGAACTTTTGATTATAATATAAATTGTGCTTCTGGAATAAAATAACATCGTAAAAAACTACAATGTCTTATTTTATTTGAAAATTTATTGCAATACCGTTAAAGTGTGACGCGATCGGAGTCATACACGTATCACCCGTTCGTGATAATAAAAGCTCTACGATTCCCATATGAACACTCCTACGAACATGTTTCCGAAACTTTCTAAGCAGCGTATAAATAACGTTCGATAAAGCTCAAATTCGAGTCGACGTTTCAGAAACGGAAGGACGTAAGCGCTAACTGCGGCACAAGCTCTTCGGATCGATGAAAGTGCTCTTTGTCTGCCGGATATACAAGCCGAATTCGCATCACGTCTTCGAAAAACTCAAACCGAGAAAAACAGCCTCCCCCGCTGAGAGGTCGTAAGCGCCACCGTTTTACCGGACCATTTTAGTCTTTAACGTGAACGCTTAGAGCGTATTCTCGAGCCGATCTTCTCGAATACAATTGAATCAGTTTACGCAGCATCAAATCACTAAACCATTGGGCGGAGCGTTCTCAGACTCCACCGGGGGCCTGCGTAACAGAGATGGAAGAAACTCGCTCTTGATACTATCCGCTTATGTTAGAAAGGGAGAATAGTATTGTCTGTTGATAGATCCGGGATCCGAGATACCAAACTGAATTTAAGTGCGCTTTGAGAGCTTTTTGTTCGGACCCCGCGGCGGCAATAAAAAGAATAGTGTCACTGAGCAGATTGCCTCTCATTCACCACTTGACAATTAAATAAGTGCGCTCGAGTGACGTATCTTTAGAATAACCCGTCATAATAATATGATTAATGGGAGTGCACTCGCTTTCTATCGATCACTTGTCAGCTACTGATAAATTAAAGAGTGGGATTTAAATTAGGAGCTTTAATGCTGCTTAAATACTTATTAAAACACCTATGTCTCTAATGTGAAACGGTTACCCAATTAGCGTCAAACTAAGCTTCGGGAATGTGAACATTCGATTAAAAAAACAACATAAATTTCAAGTTATTAATCATTTTACGATAGCACTCAAGAACTCCCCCTCATTTGCATTTAATGAAATTAAATGATGCATTTATAGAAATTAATTAACGAGGTACCCAGTGAAGCGTTTGCTAACAACCGCAGCCCCGCGTTGTCGCAGGGGAACAATGGTTCCCTCGGCAGTATAATAATAATGGCAATGATAATGCTCATCCCAATAATAACTCCCCGCGAATTATTAAAAAAAAAAACTTCACTCGATGACAATAACGAACCACTTTGGAACTAATCGAGTACTGGAGAACAAAATTAAATTAAATTTTGAAAAATGGGGTTTGTATTGTTTTGTGTTTCTGAGTTTCGGTTTTGTTTGTCTACACAGGCAGTTGTTTGAAGAATAAATAATATCAGTATTTATTTGCAGAACTAATTTAAAGTTATTTAGTAATTCTATAATTTATCTAACTAGTTATTATAATTTTACAACGTATTAATATTGGCGTATCCAAGACGTATAGTAATATCATGTGTTTGTTAACCATATTATTCTATTTATAAATATGTAATAACGGTCTAAGTTTCCCACCAAATAAAATTTTCAATTCATTAAATCCGTCATGTATCTAAAGCAAATAGAGTAGTCAAAAGATCGTCAACCCCGGGGCAATACAAGTAATTTATACGGGCTCACCCTTTCGCAAACGAATCAAATAAATCAAATTAAAGTACTCGACCACGCTCCGGCGAACACACGAGTGCCCAAGACGTTTTGTAAAATTTATTATTTTATTTATATTTTTTTATTGCTTCTATCATTGCGGTGTCCTCATTGTACTCTCGAGTGGTCTGTGACAAATTTGATGACGATCGGGGTCACGGCATCTGTAGGGTTACTACTACTGATCTATGGATTTTGGGGAGCGTAAATGACAATTTAGAAAATTTTAGAGCCAATTTAAGTCGCTAATGTGGCATGAACCGTTGTGTGGAAGAATACCTTGCGGGATTTGTACAAAGATATATATGGTCCATTTGAGAAGTTAACGGAGCGATAATGGTATCATTTTCAATAAATACCTACTTGTAAAAATTATAAAAAAAGCATGTTTTTTTGTTACAGTAACTAAGTTTTTTTTTTAAATACAGAACAAAATGGAAACGTCAAACTGCAGTCGGCTTGGAGCTTCTAGCAGAAGCTGGGAACTACGCGGCCTTCCAGCGTCTGTACGGAGGATACTGGGCAGGCGTGCCAGCCTATCCTACTCAACCGGCTCCGGCGACGGCCGACCTCTACTACAGACAGGCAGCCGCCACAGCTGCAGCCGCCGCTTCTGCTAGCGCTAACACGTTACAGAAACCACTTCCTTATAGGTAAATACACTTTTGTTTTCTTGTTTTGAAGTCGTCTTGGCCTAAAAGATAAGACGTCCGTTGCATTCGTATATAGCGAAGCAACGGTGTTCGAATCCCGCAGGCGGGTACCAATTTTTCTAATGAAATACGTACTTGACAAATGTTCACGATTGACTTCCACGGTGAAATAATATAACATCGTGTAATAAAAAATCAAACCCGCAAAATTATTTTTTGTGTAATTACTGCAGCCGTTGTAACTATAATGAGACCTTAGAACTTATATCTCAAGGTGGGTGGTGCATTTACGTGATAGATGTCTATGGGCTCCAGTAACCACTTAACACCGGCTCGGCTGTGAGCTCGTCCACCCCTCTAAGCAATAATAAAAATAAAAATAAAAAATATAATTTTTTTTGGCATAAGTTAATGCCCGATATCTGGCTGTGGGTGAATTTTGGCCCATATGAAACATACCATTTTTTATATACATACCCATATTACCTATTACATTATATTACATACAATATACCATTATTTTTTATTTGATACCGAAGATAACGCGAATTTGAATTTTATTTACTCGTAGTTGGATCTAAAAAATATATATTTAGTGTTATACCTTCATAGCCGTTCCAATATGCGCTGACGAAACAAAATTCGGCCGGTTTGTATTTATAATTTTCTTATCTTTTGTTTACATGTCAATTAACAATTATTCTTTACAAAAGTATTCACAATAATTAAATTAAATGATCTAAATCCAACACCTCATTCCCACGTTGTGTTATCTATTGTGTAATAATTAATTTTATAATGTGCTTTGCTGCATAAACACATCTTGATAGATACATAAATATAATTTGAATAGGTTATAACTGTATTTTGCATTTTTTTGTTGTAGTTATTAGAAGTTTCGAAAACTTTTTTGAAGTGAAACTTCTTTAGGCGCATGAGGGTAAAAATTTTACAGAACGTCACGCAGGTATGCAACGGAAGTGACATCAAACTACTATTGAAATTAAGTACTTGTCAAATGTCAGTAGTAGTAGTTGTTGTATTTTTCCAACTGGAAAGGCAAATGTATCATACCATACGGCCTAATATTTTTTTTTTTTTGTGAAAAATGTTAATATGAATTGAAATGAAATGAAAAGAATGTGAAATAGCATGAAATTAAATTAGTCAATTCAATTGGCAAAATATTAGTCATTTACAATTTAGAAATCTAAACATAATGTGATTGTCAACACTGAGGCTTGAGATTCACATTTGACAGACTTTTGGCGGGAACATATATTATCTTCCTTTTTCCCTTCCTCTAAGTCTCGGTAATCTAAAGTTTTAGATTTGTATAAATATAAGCAAGACTTATAAATTAGTTCACCAAAAAAGTTTCACTTCTGACATGTGTACTTTGTACGCATGCACTTTTTTTTTATTGCATAGATGGGTGGACGAGCTCACAGCCCACCTGGCGCTAACTGGTTACCGGAGCCTATACCTAGACACCTACAACGTAAATGCCGCCACCCACCTTGAGATATGAGTTTTAAGATCTCAGTATTGTTATAACTTTTTTTCTTTTTTTTTATTGCTTAGATGGTTGGATGAGCTCACAGGCGAACCGGTGTTAGGTGGTTACTGGAGCCCATAGACATCTACAACGTAAATGCGCCACCCAAATTGAGATATAAGTTCTAAGATCTCAGTATATTTACAATGACTGTCTTACCCTTCAAACCGAAACGCATTACTGCTTCACGGCAGAAATAGGCAGGGCGGTGGTACATACCCGCGCGGACTCACAAGAGGTCCTACCACCAGTAAGGTAACTTCAAACCGAAGCGCATTACTGCTTCACGGCAGAAATAGGCAGAGTGGTACTTTAGGCAGTAATTACACAAAAAATAATTTTACGGGTTTGATTTTTATTACACGATGTTATTCCTTCATCGTGGAAGTCAATCTTGAACATTTGTTAAGTACGTATTTCATTAGAAATAATGGTACCCTCGATGGAACTCGAACACCGGTTTAGGCCACGACGACTTCAAACTTTTCTTTACTGTACTAGTTTTCAATTCACACTCCTCCGTAAAAGTAGTTCTAATTACAATTATATTTTCTCAGGTATATAAGTCATAGAAATTATGTAAAAAATAATATTAAGGTTTAGTCTGATTCATTTTATAACGATATTACAATTCTTTAGTATTGGAAAACAACAGAATTGAAATGAATGTTTAAAAAAGCAGGTGTAACAGAACTGTTTTTATTTACATTATCATAAGCCCACATATGTCCACTGCTAGAGACAGACTTCCCCTAAGACTCGCCATAATTACTGAACCTGCGCAGCCCGTATCCAGTTTTATTTTATAAAAAGTTTTTTTTTATCTTTTGTTAATTAAATTGTTTGATTACGGCAGGTTATATCCTGGTGCGCCATTAGGAGGCGTCCCGCCACTAGGACTGGGGTTGCCGGGTCCCTCAGCGCACCTGGGCTTAGGTGCGCCGGCGCTGGGTGCGTTAGGGTACTACGCGCAGGCTCGACGCTCACCCTCACCGGACCTAGATCCGGGAAGCCCCGCGCCCCCTCCAGAACCCTCCCTAGAACAACGCTCTGACGATGACGACGACGAGGAAACTATCCACGTCTAACTTAAAATAAACAATAATAAATAATTATAGTGTTTCAAGAAAAGTGAGTTCAGTGTTGACGAGACAATTGACAGTAACGTTGAGACATTGCTTTGAAAAATCTCGAATTAATACGATAAATTATAATATGTTCGGAGTTACGAATTCGACCCTGTTGACATTTCGTATTTCGTAAAGGACAGGGATTGTCCGAATATGTGATATTATAAGCGATTGTGTAAGAATGTGTATAATATGAAATTGATGTTGTGTTGATGAATTAGTAATTGTTTTAGAATTTAGGTAGGTACCCAAGCTTCTAAGTTACAACAAACGTAAGTATGTTACGGCCCAGTATATCCCATTAATATTATTAATTTTATTTCTAATTGTAAGAAAGTAAATAGAAATGCTCAGGAATTCGTCAGTTAATCTAATGAGTAGACAAACAACAAAATCTCCAAAACTTTTGTTCAAATGAATTTGAAAGTAAAGATTAACTAAAGTCTTATAAAGATGATTTGAATTTATTTAAGTTTTTCGAGGCGAAAATGAACCACTGAATTTGTATCGATAACCTTTTAAAAGTGGCACTGTTCCAATAATTATGTACATAGAGTGTACCGCAATACGTAGTTTTTGCAATCCTTATTTATGTCCTGGAAGACCATGTTATAAAATCTCCAATACATATTTTTTACGCCACTGAATCAATACGATGCGGTTTCACTGATTAATTTGGCTAATATAGTGTTGGTTTCATTCAAATAAATTGAAGCCTTTGAAGAGTTTCAGTAAAAATAAATAAAAAATATTTATATGAACGCATTTTTTTTATTTTATAATTTTTTTCTACTATCTATATCTTGACGAGAAAAATATGAATTTTTATAGTAACCTGCGTTTCCTAAGCCACAACATTATTAATGTTCACGTGGGATTGTAAATTATATAAATTTTAGCTGTTTATAATAAATATTACATTGTATGTACTATTAGTTTAAAGCAACTTAAAGTATTAAATTTATATATTAATATAAATGACGCTAATAAGATACATGGCAGTGTACTTAAGCGTATCGAGATCGGCATTCTATGTCGCATAGATTTTGTGGTGTTTTGTAATTAAAATGTTGTCAATTAAAAATAATTGTTTTATTTTCAAATAAACACAAAAGTCAGTTCAAAAATTTCTAGTTTATTTTATCTACTGGTCTTTTGCCAAGCTGTGAAGTACAAGCTGTGTTGTCTAACAGGTACCTAAGTTAAAATGAATTGCTGTATTTTCATGAATGCGAAAGTTGTAGTTCACTACGTAGCTTAGAGAATATGTTGGGATATTTTAGTCGCCATTTTTTATTGCTTTTGTCGGCAGATGAGGTCTGCCTTTATTTAGTATTAGCTGACCCGGCAGACTTCGTAGTGCCTCAATCGATAAATAAAAGATCTAAGCTTTTGTATAAAATAAAGTTAAAACAAACAAAACGAATCCGTCCGACGGGAGATACATCAAAGGGAAAACAAAATTGTTATTTTTATTCAAATCCGAGCATTTTCATGTTTATCTACATTTTAAACCTTCTCTGGACTTCCACGAATAATTCAAGACCAAAGTTAGCCAAATCGGTCCAGTCGTTCTCGAGTTTTAGCGAGACTAACGAACAGCAATTCATTTTTATATACTTAATCTGGCCATAAATACTGTTACAAAGGAAAAAAAATCTATTGCAAATAACATTTATTACTTTTACAGTGTGTTAGTTTAATACATAAATATAAAACAATTTAAAGTATAAAAAGCTTATTCGAAGTGGTCTCCATTGGCTGCAATGCAGTCCTTTAAACGTTGAGGCCAGTTATTAATAGAAGCACGCACTCTTTCCATCTGAAAAATTTTCACTGCCAATCGTACGGATTGTTTTAGGGACTCCAAATTATCATGGCGTTTAGAGCAAGCCGTACTCTCTAAAACTGACCATAAATCATAATCCAGCGGATTAAGATCCGGACTAGACGACGGCCAGTCTTCAGCTCTGATGAAGTCCGAAACGTTCGTTTCCAACCAAGACTGCGTAGACCGAGCTTTATGACCTGGCGCCAAGTCTTGCTGGAAGGACTATTCTTGATTATTGAACATGGTGTTGTTAAGGGGCTTCAATACCATCTCAAGAATGGTATATTGCTTCACTTGTGCCGATGTTTTGATGCCTTTTTCACAAAAGTATGGCTCAGTCACTCCTTCATAGCTAATACGCCACCAAACCATCACTGAAGTCGGGTAGTGCCCACTTGGGAAGCTTCCTTAGAGCTTTGAGCATAAATACGGTCATTTTGTTTGTTAAAATGTTGCTCAAAATTTGATTGAAATTGAATTTGAATTTGAAATTTGATTGCAAAAAAATTTTCTCATCCGAAAACAAAAAATTTCTATGACCTCCCTTTGCGTACCGCTTCAGTAGTTGTTTCGATTTTACCACCCTATTCTCTTTTAAATTATCAGTTAAGAAATAACCAGTACGTCTCTTATAAGCTGCAAGTCCTAAGTCATCTTTTAAAATACGCGACATGGTTCTAGGTGCTATCTTCATCTCCCGAGATAAAATCTTTTGCTTTCGGACAGGATTTCTTCGAATTCTTTCCCTTACTGCTTTGACCACATTTTTCGTACGAACACTACGTGGACGGCCAGATCTTTTTCTGTCACAAACAGAGGAGGTCTCACACAAACATTTTACTAATACCAAGCGTATGGAGAGTTTTAAAAATTGCATTTGGCTCTATACCTACTTTGTGTAATGCAATCACTGCGATTCGGTTCTCTTTATCACCCCACTCCATTTTAATATCGCAAAATATTGTACAATGTATTGGCGCCAAAATGAGAAAACTCAATGAGCTCCTCCTCCTCCTCGCGTCGTTTCCTCACTGCTGAGGGTCGTGACCATTATATGTCGACAGGATTTTGCTCCTTGTAATGTCCCGCCAGCGCCTCCGATCATTGGCCGCATGAAGGGCGTCGTGGAATGGGATCTCTAGTGTGGTGCGGATTTGGTCGAACTACCTTGTCGGACTGCGCCCGCGTGGTCTCTTTCCCTCGATCTTCCCTGTCACGAATAGTCTCTCTAAGCTATCCGGTGTTTTCCGAGCAATATGACCGAAGTACTCGAGTGCGCGGCGAAGGCAGAGTGTGGACAGTCTAGTCTTAATCTGCAGTTGATCTAAGATAGACAGATTGCTTCTCTTCGCTGTCCAAGGTATCCGGAGCATTCTTTTCCAGCACCACATCTCAAAAGCATCCACACGCTTGCGATCAGCTGCCTTAAGGCTCCAGGTCTCCGCTCCGTATAGAAAAATGGCAAAGACCAGAGTGAGCACCAGTTTTATCTTTGTTTTCTGGGTAATGTTACGGTCCTTCCAGATTTTACCGAGCTGGGTCATGGCTCCCTTTGCCATTCCAATACGCCGTCGTATTTCAGGTTCACTGGATCCGGTATTGTTAATGTTTGAGCCTAGGTAAATAAAGTTATCAACAAGCTCAAGGTTTAGTGTTCCACTAAGCTCCAACTATTTGTGCGATCAACGACAATGATTTTAGTTTTGGATCTGTTGATGGCGAGTCCCATCTCCAACCCTATGTGCTCCATCCTGTTCAGAAGCTCTGTCATCTCTGCTTCTCAATGAGCAATCATATAAAAATGACAGATTCCAAATTCAAATGTAATATTTTGTTTATTTTTAATTGTAACAGTATTTATAGCCAGACTAAGTAGATTATTAGTTTCCGGAAACAAGAACGAGCCAGCCTTCTTGAGAAGGGAGGTCGAATTCTTATATATGTTTTACAAAACAATGACGTGCGTCCTTATAAATACGTCTTACCGGAATTATATTTAACCAACCGTTTCAATAACAAATCCTTTCAAGCCATAACGAACTGAGCGGATACAGGCACAATTCTAAAGATAGTGAAAATGCGTGCTAAGTGTTAAGTTGATTGTTCCTTATTTTCAATTAATATTATTACATATAATTGTTTACTTTCTTAGCAAAAAGTGACCTTACCAATTTTTTTTTGTTCCTACCAATGCTGATAGCCTCGAGAGGCTATTTCAGCTTCTCCTTGACGTGTAGGTGAGCTCACGGGACTCGAACCGGAGTGTTGCTAATACTGGCCCTAGCAAAAGCAGTGCTTCGCAGAATATACCACCGGATCGGAAACGCGACCCACCGAGAAGATCCGGCGAGAAACTCAGTGGGCTGTGTCTGTGGGTTAATTCGCTCGTCGAGCCCTTCGTCGCAAGCGACGGGTTCGACAAGGACGGTGACCGGTGCTTGCGGTACCTAAAAGCACCGTTACATACCACTGTTATTGAGATTTAACACAAACACGAAAAAACAATAACGTTGATTTTTACAATGATAAACAAAATTATTCTGAATCGTTAACATCGATTGACTCTAAAATATATTATGGAACATTTTTTATTGTTTGTAAAATTTTAAACCATTAAAGCTAGCTAAGTTTGTATTATATCTTCAAACACGATTTTGAAAACATGTACATGTTTACATTCATATTAGATTATAACGATGTTAAAAACACTAATGAAGCAAACGCATGTTTGAAAAAAAAAAAATTTTTAAACATAAAACCAGATTGCATTCATCAACCATTACATAATTGTTGCGTGCAAAAGGAACGTCTAGAAAGAAACAAAAATGCATTTTGTTCGTTTAGGCACTTAAACAGTTGTAACGAACACCTCACTGGAGTGTAGGGTTACCATAAAGTATGATGAAATTTTAGGGAAACAATTTTTAATAGTAAATCAACTTTATTTTATGCACCTTATTTATCACATTATGAAACTAGAATCTGCAGTTTTAGCACACAGCTTTTTGGATCGCAAAATGAGAATGCATTTTTACATGTTTGATTAATAAATTAAGAAGGGGATAACAAATATTTTATATTATATAATGTATATATAATCAGATACAAATACCAATTTATGGCATGACAAAAAATACTAATTTATTATATCGTTACATAAGATTAATATAAGATGAGATCATCAAACCTTCATGCATACGTTTATTTTGAAACTTTTAATCACTAATACACAAACTATTTTTCAAGCATATGGTTTTTTTATGCTGAAATAATCGATACGTGGTAAACCTACTCAGGTTTCATTACGTAGGTGTACTAACTCCGTTTTGTCACGCCACCAACTCGGTGTTGGCTCCCGGCTAATAGGCTCGCGTTAAATTGTCTGTGCTATCTCCATTTGCAAATGCAGTTCCGTTAGTGATGCGAAGTATTGATTTTGAAGGTACCGATGTCAAAGTAATCAATTTGTTTCTTGTTTATACTGAAAATCGATATTCCGCTAGGAACAAATATAAATGTCGTCCATATTTCGTATTGATATGTTAGAAAAAAAATGTAATTTAAATGGTGTATAAATAGTGTAGTTTTATTAGCTTATGCCTGTCAAGAAAAACTAACAGTTTACTTTAAACACGACCGTCAACGGAAATAAAGCTGGAACGGTATGAACCATTGTGCAAGAATAAATAAATAATTAATGTATTTGAATTTATGTTCGAAAATTAATTGTTAATAAAAAAGATGATTATTTAACCTCCTTAAAAGTGGAGCAATATCAAATATTAGATGTGCCCTGCGATTTCGTACGCGTTAAATTTGTAATTGAGAACAGTTATCACTGTCCATAAACTATAAAATCAATTGATAAATCAGTTGATACGTTTGATCATAAACCAAATTGTTGTATTTATTGTAATAGATATATCCGGGCTCATCCCTAAAATTACCAGTAGGTATTAATTGTTCCCGGCTGCAAGCTGTTTTTTGGTGAATTTTCATCCAAACCATTCAGCCATTTTTGCGTGATTGTGCATCAGACATCCAAAAATACAAACTTTTGCTGTTCTAATATCAAGTGCAAATTAGGTAACTAGGAACCCAGCAGTAACTACTTAGCGCTCGTCCTGTACTGTAAAGAATATTATAACGGCGTACGGCGATGGCAAACTGGCATTTACTTGTGCTGTAAGCCTAAACGGGTTGGTATCGCCATCCTGCTTATTTCTCTTGCGAAGCAATCATGCTTGAGGAGTAGGACAGTTGTTCTACAA